TTTGCCAACTGCTGTCCACTTGGCAGGAGCCCTGGTGGTGTGGTGGTTAAGCATTGGGCTGGGATCCACATGGTCAGCAGTTTGAAACCACCAACAGCTGCTTGGAAGAAAGACTGGGCTTTCTACTTCCGAAAACAGAAACCCACAGGGCGCTGCTTTGAGTCCGCGTTGACTAGGTGGCAAGGGCTGCAAACTCGAGGAGCTGAGTGGAAGAGGTGGGGTTCTTTTTAGTCACTTGGGGGATCATAAGGATGTTGTCTTAGTTCCTGGCCAGCGCCTCCTCTCTCCACCCTCCCGACTGGTGCATACACTGTCTGTATCCCTCCTTGGGTAACCCCCACTCTTCTGGTCTCATCTGAACGTTGGGGACTGTTTCCCAAATCTGGCTTGGGTGCCCCTTGCTGGTACCTGAAAACCTTATGGCATATCTTCCGACATCATAACCACATGCAAGCCACCACAGTAGGACAAACAGACAGGTGGGCAGTCTGGCACATCTTATCCCTTCACTCCTCTGAAGAGCTTCCCTTGGAGCCCGGGATTGTGGTTGGTGGCCAACCAGGGGGTGGCAGTGAGGACAGTTCTGGGATTCGCTCTCAAAGACCACTGCTGACTATCTTCCAGGGACACAGATGTACACACAGTGGCCTCACTGCTAAAGCTCTACCTCCGAGACCTCCCTGAGCCCGTGGTTCCCTGGAGCCAGTATGAGGGCTTTCTGCTCTGTGGACAGCTCATGAATGCAGACGAGGCAAAGGTTTGTATCTCGTTAGAGTTCATTGTCTTACTTCGGAAGGAAGCAATTGTTTCTTGAACTCCGGGAGGCCACAATGGAGAAGGGGTGGGGGTGGAGGGAGCATACCTTTCTGACCATGACTCCCACCCACAACTTCCTCCCTTCAGACCTGTTCTTCCCAAGTTGCCTCCATCCCAGGCTATTTGAGCATCACCTCGTGTATAGCAATGTACATATGCCAGGGCAGAAGGACCAAGTCTTTCTGAATGGCCCACCTGTGGGGGGCAGGGGGATATAGCTGGGAGGGCTGAGTCCAGGGCAACCTTTGAAAAGAATTGGAGTGATGAAATGGAAGAGACGAACATCTCAGTGTTGGCAGGAGGTAGGCACTCAGGATGCCTTTGCTAACTGAATCTGAATGCTGGCCATCCCTGCATTCTGAGGATGTCAGACTGACGGAAAACCAGTCTTTCATGGTGTGCACAGTGGCCCTGCCTTTGAAACGATGGAACCCACTTCTACTCCCAGCAAATGCTTCATCACAATCACCCAACTCTGCCGCACAAGCGGCTCTGACACCACCCGGAAGTCCTCCAGCGCCCTCTGGCATGAAAACCCACAGCCGCAGAGCGGCTTCTGACCCATGGAGACCTGGGACAAGAGCAGAACTGCTCCCTAGAGAAAGTCTCCCCATGTCAATCTCCCCGAGGGCAGACAGCCTCTTCTTTCTCCCTCAGCGTGGCAGGTGGGTTTGAACTGCCCACTAAACCCCAAAGCCCAAACCCACTGCCATCGAATGAACAACTCATCACTCACTGCCATCAAGTGGATTCCGACTCAGAATGACCCTAAAGGGCAGGAAAGGACTATCCCCGTGGCTTGCTGACACTATAGCTCTTTCTGGAGGGAGAAAGCCTCATCTTTCTTCCATGGAGCTCCTGGTGGTTTTGAACAGCTGATCTTGTGGCGAGCAGCCCAACAAGTAATTCCACTACCCTCCCAGGGCTGCTTACCTACTCATCACCAAGCTATATAGGGGCTCTGAGACTGATAAGCTTGGTGGGAGCACACAGCCTCTTCTTGCTCCCTGGGAGTGACAGGTGGGTTTGAACTACCTACCTTGTGGTTAGCTGTCCAACACTTACACCGTAGTGCCACTAAAGAACCACAGGCACCTTTTTCTACTTAGCCACAAATTTCACTTAACGTCTTTAGTGCCACAGTTAGGAACAGGTCCTATTTGTAACCAGGAGACTACCTGGACAATGGTCTCCATCATGATGTTGCCATTGGCTGATATTTGATTTCTGTAAGGAGGAGTGGCTCAGGCCTGAGGAGAGACCCTGGTATCATGTGAGCTCTGACCATGCAGTGTGGCAGAGGGGACAGTGATCAAGGACCCCTACTCTTCCTCTCCTAGCACATGCACTCCCTAGCTCATCGGCCTTGAAGCTCCAGGTGGCCAGGGAATTGAACAGCCTAACTCTGCACTCACCCCTCAGTTTGGGCAGCCTGCCCTGATGTCCCAGCAGGCCACAGCAAAGCCCTTTCACTAAAAACCCTTCCAGAAATAGTCTCCTCTCACCACTTTAAAGAAAATGATTTTTGAGATATTTGAATATGGTCTCGTTTTTATTGGTGTGCTAGGTCTCAAGCAAGGGGCCTTGGTGGTTTCACAGGTTAGGCCTTGGGTTGCTAACCTCAAGATCAGAAGTTCAAATCCCCAGCCACTCCGAGGGAGAAAGATGAGGCCCTGGACTCTTGTCAAGATTTATAGCGTTGGCAATCCACAGAGCAGTTCCAACCTGCCCCATAGGGTCGCCATGACTCGGCAGTCAACTCAGTGGCCGTAAGTTTGGTTTGGTTCTTCGGGCCTCGAGCCGTGGGCCCTGAGAGGGTAGTGGGTTCTGCGTTGGGCTGCTAACTGCAAGATCAGTAGTTCGAAGCTTCTTTGGAGAAAGATGAGCCAGTCTACTCCTGGAAAGCTTTACAGTCTTGGAAATCCACAGGGTCTGTCCTCTGGAGTCAATGAGTGGGAATCGCCTCAGCGGTAGTGGGTTTGGTTTGGGGAAATCTCAAGCATTCTTTGTGACCACGGTGACTGTGTGCCAGAGCTGATCCGTCCTTCTTGCTCTGGACGAATCCCAAACTAACCAATCCAAACTCACTGCTAGGGAGT